TCTTATTTCTTCAAAGACTTCTGACAAACAAATGGTCGTGTACATTCAGAAATAACCGTTTTACGATCCTCTAGTGCCACTGTATTAGCAAATTGTCAATTTTTTTAGCAACCAAGTGTCATGCAACATCAACAGAGATATTAGTTGGATTTAGTAAATGCTATTTAAATCATAAGACGTCCACAACTGGTCATAGACCTCCCTTGATAAAAACTTGGAAGATCAGTTAGTAGCGGTCAGCAACCACCGAATTGCGAGCTTTATAATGCCATCTATTGATTACTATTGCGTATTAATTGCGTTTTAGTTTACCTTTACCTATGAAGTTGCAGATTTGTATGACAACTTTAAAATAGAAAAAAAATATTATAAATTATCTATACTATTTCGGCATTTTGATGGTAGTTTCTTTATCCCTTTACTGTCGAAGTCAGCTGGACAGGTGGCGCTGATGTTAACTAAAGCGTTTTGTACTGCCTCTTAGGTGGGCAACATCCGATAAGTGACAGAGAGCTTCTTGCTTTAACTCTGTAGCTTTGCGAGGGTCTGTCGTGAAGTGTGAACTCATGGGTTATCGCAAAGAAGTAATGGGAAGAGCGATTGACCAGCCGTGGTTGTTGAATTGCGAGCTACTCCATCATTGTTTCATTGTCCATCATTCTTGGAAATAGACATCTGCCGGCACTGTTGTGCCATTCGGTGAGAAGTTATGATGTACAAGTCCTGGTCTGGTCCACCAGACAGTCACCATCATTCCTATTGGTAATCTTTTCTTTAGCAGACTGATTAGGTGTTGCACTCGAGTTCACTCACTGAGAAGAACGCTTACGGTTTTCGTACTGAATCCACTTTTCATCGCAGGCAAAAATTCGATTCACAATTTCCGATCCCGTTTCTGTGCCGATTCAGTAGTGCTATGCATGCTTCGACGCGTAAGTCTTGCTGCCAGTCGCTTAGTTCGTGTGGCACCCACTTATCTAGTTTTTATTTCTTTCCGATTTGACACTAACTTGTGTTTTGACAATGACTTCAAAACTATATCCACGTAGGAACTCATATTAGAAAATTATACGAATTTTCAGTTAATCCTAAACAAATCACTATCTAAAACAAATGACTAAATTTAAATAACATGGCTTTGGAATATAACTTATTTGAATTTCGAATTGGGCGCCAACCCACAGAAAATTAAATCTGAAAATACTGGTTTTAAAAATCTCCAAATTCATAGGTAAAGGCCTGTTATCAACAAAGTTTCTTATCCATAGGTATACTTTTTATTTTAATTGTATCAATACTTTAAATCGTCAACAGCTAGAATATTCCCGATTCGCTTGGCCTCTTGGCGTTGCGTTAAAAGGTACCTTTACTCTACATTCTCTATCGCTTGTATCATGAATAGTGCTTCGAGGAATTTTCCGGGCTTAGGGCCGTTGCAGCTTTCTGTTATCGTTACATTCGGCCAAACATCCATGCCATCCATATAGAGATGTTATCACTTAATCACTGTGTACTTCTTAAAAGCTGTCTAATCCGGATAACTTGGAACAAATTTTCGCCTATGGTATTTTCAGAATGACATGACCTTCAAACCTTAATGAAAAGAGCGTAGTTTCAACCCAGAAGCGGACAACGCACTTCTGAGTTGCAGATGTCCATGGGAGGTAGTAGTCACATTTTATCAGGTTACCCATCTGCTAAAAATCGTCAAAAATCTCAGAGCGTATAAAGATGCTTTTTTTTAATAATTATTTTTACTTTAAGATTCTAAGACTAGTTTTTCTCTAATACGTTGTCACACAGACAGGAATTAATAATCTAATCTACTACCATACAATTTAATCGATTAATGGGTTAATCGATACCCAATGCTAATAATTATAAATATAATTTTTATTATGTATATAATATTTATTAATAACTTGCCATATGAATTAGTTAATAGTGTAACTGTCAAAAATATTAAATGTAAACTAAAGCGATACTTCCTTAACCTAATATAGATATTGTTATTTGATAATTTTTTATTAATGTTTAATTGAGTCGTGTTTTCAAAGTATGCAATATTTAGTGTACCATATAGTGGACAAATGCTAGTATCTAACTACCCTCATTTACTTACATTATATTAAAGTGTAAACTCTCGACAGCTCAGTGTAAACAGAAGCTGTCGTTTTGTAAACTTCTCTGTCAAGTTGTTTTATGTGATAAAGAAATAAATAAAACCTAAGGTTTTTCTTCCAATTCGAATATAAATGCTTACTGTGACAAGTCTTTATTGGTATTTTTGATTAAAAGAAGAAATTAAGAAAAAGATTATTTCTTTTAATTATTAACCTACCTAATAGATATTTTGAACAACAGCCAATGCTACATATAACGCGACCCTGATCTGCTCGAGATATTGGTTATATTCCGCAATCCATCATATTTATCATAAGCTATGTCCCTTTCATACCATTGTTTTCTCTTCTTATCTAGCTTGTTTAAAATTATTTTTTTCGTTTCGATATACCTACAAGTGTGTTTTTAGAAATATGTTCACAATTTTGCACCAAATTTAGTTGAAATCAAAACTTTAATTACCAATATTGTTATCAGTCCTCGATGCATATGTTTATACATTACTAGTTTGTGAAAATCTTGTTGAAAGTTTCCGTAACATATACAGATTTAGATTAAGTTGTTGTAAAACATGTACCTAATAGATAATTGAACGCCTAAAGTGTAGAGATTATATCGAGAAAGACTGGGTTCTAGATCAACACAGTGCTGACATTAAGCTTGCCAATGAGCAGGGTCTGGAGACACCGTGACTGAATGTGACAGTCAAAAGGTATACCCTGTTTCTAATACGTTCATCAACAGCCTATAACAGTCCACTGCTGGACATAGGCCTCTCCTTACAAAGGAAGTTTTGGCCTACTATACCATGCTGGCCAGACGGGTTGGTACAGGGTTTGTGTCAAGTTTTCCTTATTTCCCTTCCTCCTAATACGTTAATATGATATTAATCTTAATCAAAGCAGTTTAAAATTGTGTCAAGTTAGCGAACAATTAATGAGGAGACAGGAAGAGACTTCTCGTAATATTGTTACACTTAAGAGATTATACTGTTGTGGATTAAATTTCACTTTAAAGATATTGAACCTCAAAAATGCTACTTACCTACTTATAAAGATGGTGTTTCAACGTAATTGTATATCAACATCAAACCATAACGGTAATGAGGATGACGCTTCATGAGCGTTTCTAGGGAATCGAACTTTTATTGTATAAATAGGTATCTTGTATCTTGTATCTTCTGGTATTGAAGTTTCAGGAACCTACATTCGATTCTCACCATATTCTTAAGTTTTTTTTAAAGACAGCTCCCGCATTAGGTATATATCCTGTGTCGCGGGAGACTTTACAAACATACACGAAACGGACAGAAGGACTCAGAACAACAATTTGTTGAACACACAAAGTGTCGTCCCATGTGGGGATCGGACCCACAACACTCGGCTAAGCCATCCGAGCAGTCGTTGTATATGTATTTTTTTATTTATATGTGTGTTTATCGATCGTTTGCGTAGAAGTAAGCGGCGTGGCATTTTAAGCAGGAACAGATGAAATGAAGCCTTTATCTACTTACATCTAACAAGAAGGGATGTTACGTTGAATTATTTGAATTGATAGAGGTAATCATACCTAAAATGATTTATAATAATAAATTTAACATGGTTGGGTTAAGATAAGTAGTTAGGTAAGTTTAGCGCTTCATGCCGCTCTGACTGTGGCCGCAGGTGGATGGGACGGGTGTTCCCCCCTACCCGTCATAACGGCCAGCCGCGAGGAGGCGACGTCCGCGTGTGCCGGACGTCGCCTAAATAGAGCATGTACCCGAAGGTGGTGCAGGCGCAGAGTGACACACATTGTGGTGTTAGTCGGTCTGATTCCGACCTCCCCCTCCCCTGCAAACCCCGGTGGGATGACGGCCCGAGGAAGGCGTAAAAAAAAAAGTAGTTAGGAAGTTTAGTAATTTATTGGCTGCGGTATTTTCTGACCGATACGATCCTCAAACCTTCAAGTAAAGAGCGTAGGTACTCCTTCTTCAAAGGCTGGCAACGCGCTTGTGACTCCTAGGTTGCGGGCGTGTGCTCGTTTGCCCCCTATTCCATAAAAAAAAACAACATTTCGATGTAAAAATAATTTTACCGATTTTAAAAAATATTTTAGTACTTCTAAAACTTGTCCATTTGATCAGAATATTAAATTGATAGATACTATTACCGCCATCTGGTGGCCAAAATTGGTATACAAATGATTTTATTTGTAAGGATGACCATACTGATGGAACAACCTGATGGTTGTTGATGTACCTACATCAGTACAGGTAGGTAGGTATGTTTACCTACATTCATTTAGATATCTGATCATACTCCCTAGGTAAATAAAATGCTGGTGAGGACTTCTGAAAGAGTGAGGAAGAAAATGCTTCTACTTAAGAGCATAATTATTTTTTTTGAGAATTAACAAACAAGCGACGGAGCAGGTACTAATAGTGTTCAACGATTATGTAGAGCGAGGATCTACCTAGAGGTAGGTCCGTCTGTAGAACTGTAGAGCTCTCCGAACGACCAATGATTGATAATGGAGAGCATTATAGCGAAGTGCGGCGTGTGCGCCCGAACGCATTCACTCTCCGTTGTACACCGGTACAGCGGCATAGCACCCCCCACCACCCACCACCGCCCCGCGGAACCTATTCATTTCTTACAATTAATCAAAATTAAATCAACCGTCGTCTCTCCGACTCAGTTTAGTATTTAATGGGTGCCGGTGTAGAGTTCCATTTCACCTGGCAGCCGCTGAGTAGGCGTGTCCGGCGTCAACAAATCTGGCCAATACAGTGCGGTAACAAAATATCCGTATTGGCTATTAGTAGGCCCCGCCCGAACGCCGTCCCGCACCAGAAACGTCACAAGCGCACGGCGACAAGCCGCGCTTGCGTCCTTTCAGTGTTGAAGCGACGCTAACACGCTCGGGGTTGTAAGGGCGCAAGTGGTGCGCGCGGGGCGGTGTATAGGCTGTGTCGGCAGTGAGCGGCCGCCGGCAGCGCTTCGAGGGGGGCTTCTCGTCTTTACGGCGTGACGTGCGGCGCCGCCGACAGAAGCGCTGCAGACGCCGCGGCGAGCGCTCGCGTCACACCCGCGCACGCACCCCGCACGCGACCTTATTTGCGAATTTCCCATTTCCACGAAAAATATTAAAAAATATCCTCACCTTCAACATAAAATTTAACCTGCTGTCTAGGCCTAATTTTAAGTAGACAAGTATCAATTCTTAGTTTAAAGTGTTAAGAACTTTGAAAAGTGCGTTTTTGATAACTTTTAATAATTGACATAACGACCTAAGTAATTGTGATAACATATGCCTAAGTCAGATAATATATTGTCGAAAAGAAATTAAAAGACAGTAAAATTTAAATAGTAATGTAATGTTAAGTTGAGAGCACACGTGCGACAAAGCGCTTATCCAAGATGCAAGCGATGAGTGCAAACGCAGGCGCGCCGCGGGCCCCGCAGAGGTCGCCGTTCGCTATCCAGGAGTTGCTGGGCTTGTCAGATAACCGTGAGAGCCGGGAGCGGTACTTCGAGAGAGGAGATGGAGATCGAGTGTTGAATTTATCGGAAAGTAGAGAGCCGAGATCACCGTACACCCCACAGTTCCCGCTGCCAGCATCCGTAGCGAGCCGTGTGGCATATGCGGCAGCATTCAATGCACAAGCGGCGGTGGCAGCTGCCTTTCTGCCCGGGCCGCCACTACTGCACCCGCCTCCTGGTGAGTCTGTACTTTCGTTTGTAGGGTCCCTAAGTGACTGCTCGATCACAATCACTAGAAATTGAATGGTTTGGAAAGCTAGTATTCACAGTAGGTATACACTATTAGCTATTTTATTTTAAGTACGAGCGCTTTTAGAGTAGGTATTTCACTAATCCCTTCACTGGCTATCACAGTAGCTTAGACAACCCATAATTAGATATACGCTCGTAGATATTCTACAATCCTCAAAAAGTAGTAAGTCGCTTACATATCGTAAGTGTGTACAAGGCCTGTCCGGGCGCAGTGTGAGCGCGCTCAAGGCGCGTTTACGCTCTCTTTGTGCGCGTGTTTAATTAGCGTTTTAGTCTTATTGGTTAATAAATTACAAAGCGTACGAGGCTTTTGTCGATCGCCGACGGCTCCGGTTTCACCGTCACTGTGAACAACGGAGCCATAAGCGACGTGTTTGAATTACTACAAGAAATTGACTCAGGAGCCTTTCAATTAGGCGTATAGTATTAGTCTTATTGGTAAAGCTTGGTCTTTCGTGATTCACACAAGTTTGAAACATAAATTTAATGATTTACACTTTAGTGTATCAGTAGATACACTAAAGTGTAAAACGTAAGTGTACCTACCTAATTAGTTTTTTTACACTATATCTTGTTATCTTACAATATACAAAGATATAAAATACTTAAAAAATTGATACTTTGAGCCCGTTGAGAATAGCATACATTTTTTTTAATATATAAGCAATACAGATATTTTAAAATAAAACGCTACTTTAATTTTGAAATATTTGAAGTTGATAGGTAAGTATATACAACTTATAGAATTAATGTATTTATTAAAATATGAATGAAAATCAAGCAAAAGCTAACAGCTATAATTTGATTTAAACCCATCTAAAATTTAATGGAATCTGTTCACTTTACACAAAGATATAACAAAATACTTGTTTAAAGTCCTGTTTATTTCTCATAACGTTGTGAACGGCACGTATTTTGTAATTGTACTGAAGCTTAAATGCATTTCATCATTTAAATAATTATTCTAGATATAATTATTATAGCTAGGTTTATTAAAATTGTTTTGCGACTGCGCTACCATACCAGCATCCTTCAGAAAGGCCTAAGCACACTTTAAATATTAACATACATTTATTAATAAAAAAATTAAGTAACTTTCATTATAATTTAACTATTCGTTGAAAAATATACCTACGTATAAACGGCGGTTTGATAATTATTTTCATTCGCAAAGATGGCGATATTCTTCTCGCATTGCCGACGGAGATCGCGCGCAAGCAATGCCTTACATAGATACATAAAACGTATTAAACCTTTTTGAACAAAGGTGAATTTAACTATAAATTTGGTATTACTGTAATAAAAATATAATCCTCAATAAAGCATTAGTATACCTAATTATTACAGTAGATAATACGTTCCCAGGTGTTATTAGACATTACAAAAAGCGTAGTTTTTATATCAATTATGTACAAAACCATTCATTAGGTAGGTACTTCCTCGTTTATCACGAATAAATAACATACTTAATATTGTATTCGAACAAAAACGCACTTCCTCCTTGAATTTGTAGTTTAATATAGGTACTAAATTAACACAGTAACAATGTCTTGTTAAATGATCATTTATATTTGTTGTCGAAGGAAGAACTTGAAGTTAAAGAAAATGGGCTTAGTTACACCATAAGTTATCAATAAGTATACTTAAAAGAGCGAACTCCTTCCTAAAAGCTGGCAACGCTTTTGTGACTTCTGGGTTGCAGACGTTCATGGGCGGCGGTCGTCACTTTCTATCAGGTGACCCGTCTACTCGTCTGCCACCCCTCTAACATAAAAAAAAAGCTCAAGAAGATGTGCACAGTTCTTACTTATGTTAATTAAAATTAATTAAGCAACTAAAGAAGAATATAAACTCATAGTAACCGAACACAGCTGTATATCATCCTCACGTATCTTCATAGGGGATACCCTTGATATATTTTATTAATGATTGAATGGCTATTGCAATATATGGGTGAAATTATTAAGATAACAGTTTTATATAATCTGATCTGTGAGATAGTTAAAAAATCGGCTAACTCTGGAATTTGAAAGTAAAAATGAAATAACTCTACATTTCAGGACAAGATGATTTAAATAAAAGTGAAGTAAAAAAATACGAACACAATCAGAGGATATATTTTCCAAAACGACTTAAAGCTTAACTATGCACACACACACACAAACACACTCACCCACACACATACACACACACACACACACACCTTCGTTTTAGAACACGTAGGTATTAAGACATATTATTTTATACCAATATTTTTTCAAAAACTTCACTGACAATAATATTAAAATGCCCACTTACGTTGTAAGGGAGTTGAATCTTTGGTATCACACACCGCTAGGTCACACATAATAAAAACTATAATATCCAATTATACATCTAACTCAGTTAAAATTATAGGCCTACTAATTCGACCAGCTTGTCGTTCATGTTTTTATTGTAACCCTCTTTGAACACCCCCTGAGATCATTAAATCCCGTCGGAAAGAAACTGGTGTTCATTACGGAGCGAAGACATTTTCAGTTCTCAATTACTTAATACCAGCATTCCTGGTAAACGTTTCAATTTAACTAAACGGTTGTATTTGTGCTTCTATTTTATACATTGTGGCAGATATAACCAATTTTTTTTGTCATAAGTCATAAGACTCTGACTTACCAAACTTTGTATATATTATACTACCGTTTTATCTGCTTTTATAATGACTGCTTAGCTCCTAAGGAACATAGAGCGATGTTTCGTAACCTATAACATTCCTCATGGAATATTCTGTCCAATACGAAAAGAATTATTAAAATATGATTGACATTACAGAGATCAGTGCGTTTAAACAAATGCCTAACAAAAAACTCTTCTGCCTTATTGGTATTGGTTGTGGGCTTCGGTTTCCGCATTTAGACTCAAGAGTGGTCCTTTATGCGTCGAGGATCGGTTAGCTAAGTGAGCCAACCAAACTCCTTCCGGAAGCCCTGTTAAATAGACTAATAAATAGGCTTAGACACTAATTTAATTGTATATTGTATTTAATTAACACTACACATTGTCTCCTTTTCTTCGAGTCCTGGACAGGTATCCGTCGGCTTGTTACTGTAACTACCGTGCAAAGTATAACTACCTTAACCAATATTATATTTCATATTTATTAAATTTTATGAAATGCTTATATGGAATAGAATTAAGTAATTTTATATCAGCCTTTTTTATTAAAGGTACAAGTGTTTTTATTATTACTAATCTCTATTATGGCATATATAAGACCGATATCGAACCTATAGCCCTTAACTTCTAAAAAACTGCAATTAAATGACCTATAACTCATTGGATATCATGATGAAATGACATAATTGAGGTACTATGATGCTTCAAACACACTCATAATCAACAACCTGATACTAAAACCCTTCAATTGAAGTTTTAAACTTAAACAGGCAGAAATAAACAAAGTGTATTCACAAAAGACATTCACACACCTACTTTAAACGTAGATGTGAGATGTAAAGACAGATTGAATGGCTCCTCCGCCACGACACCTTCTACAAAAACCAAGACGGTTAAATACGAGTTGTGAAAGGCCTACGAGTGCCTCACACCTCACAAAATAGGCCTTTGTGAGGTCACAATGAGGCCAAGATAAAGGCCTCTTTGTGCCTCATCAGATTTGTGCGATAAAGGGATACGGAGGCTTTCAACAAATTAGTGGTCATTGGACAGGTTTGATTCTTCGCTCTTTGGGCCTACTCAGATGACAAACACTCGGCCGTGTCAATATTTAGTTGAGTTACCTACTTGAATGGACTCACGTTAGAAAGAGCTCAATTCAACACCTTGTTCAGTATCGTTTCATATTTAACTAAAGACCATAATAATAGAAGGATTAATAAGATACCATAAACGGGCTATTTACCTACCATGTTTATTCTTGAGAATTAGTATTCGATATATTATATGTGTCACAGCGCCACGATCACGGATGAACTTAAAATAAATATCTCGTATTAGTTTGATTTTCCCTATGTTTACATTTCTTAAACATGTTTTACAAATTAATTATAGATTTTATGCGTCTTAAATGATAGTATTACTAATAGATAGAGAGAGATAGAGAATAATATAAAGTTCAAACAGTACTTTTTCTAATAAACTTAGTTTAATAAGACGTTTTATAATTTACAACCATTTTATTAATACAATATAAAAAAGAAGAAAAATTATCTGCAATGTATATGCAACCAGCATATACTTTACATATAATTTACATCCATTACTTATACTTTAATTCTATCGATAAAAATTAAATTAATTAAGTAGGTAATAGGGTATTGACTCCTTAGTCAAATTAGTTACTTTTTATTATCTGTCAAAGTGACAATTTGGAATGAAAAATGTACTGAATAGCAACTTGTGACGTCACTATCTGAGACTTCTCAATTGAAGTGTATATATTTCAATGTTTATTTGACTTAAATTCGTAACAATAGTTATCAAAAGCTGTAATTGTAAGTCACAATTAACTTGATCTAATCATCACATTCAACTGAAAGAAGGAGAGGTTTTGTAGCTAGCCGTTATGCCAGTATCTTAGGGCGACCTTCACTGGCTCACTTGGCCTTTGAGGCTTTGATTTGTTAAGAGTAAAGAATTTTCTTAATAGCTATAACTGTACGATCTGGGCCTTAATTCTGCTATTTTATGTTAACGCCAAGCCTCTGTTATTCCAATGACACGCTATTGAGACGCCATTGACATCGGTCAAAATATCAGTATTCATCATCATCATCATCATCATCAGCCTATCGCAGTCCACTGCTGGACATAGGCCTCTCCCATTGCACGCCACTTAGATCGATTTTGGGCTTCTCGCATCCAGCTCCTGCCAACCATCTTGCGCAAATCGTCACTCCACCTGGCCTGTGGGCGTCCTACACTACGTTTGCCGAGACGCGGTCTCCACTCAAGAACTCGTTTTCCCCAACGGTTATCGGTTCTGCGGCTAATATGGCCAGCCAGTATTCTACTAACATAAATTCACAGTGTTAATAGACTGTCGATATGGTAATATAGGTCATCAATGATGATATCAACAACATTGCCATACCTGGAAAATTAAATATATCGTTTTCTTACAACTTTAAAATGTTCCGTTTACCAAACTGTTGTAAACTCATCGACGACATTTGTATCAGTGACAAGTCATCGGCCATTGGTCTTACATAGTTAGTAGAATAAGAAAAGTGTAAAACTATTCCGACGACAGTCCATCGACAGTCTATTGATACAATATTAAAATAGCAGAATTGAGGGTCTGACCTGTTGTCCGAATACAGAAAAAATAATCATACTTATTACACAATTATTCGTTCCTGGTGGAAATAGAACCCACGAGCTCGGCTAAGGATCAGTAACCACTGGACCAGCAGGCTAGTTAAATAAATAAGGGTATTTAAAATTCTAAACAAAAGCCATACATTGTAGTGACTTTAGATCTGGGTCATAGCGGCGGGTTCCGATCGATCGTGCTGACTCCGGCTGTAAATTAGACAAGCACATTAGTAGAGTTATTAGTGGTACGGACCCCTGGTAAGGTGCGTTACGCACTGCGACGAGTGGCAACGGACATTATAGCTTTATGATAGCTGTGGTATATCTTACGGCGGTGTTTGTGTACCTCATTTTACTACTATTGATGCGCATAAGTACGCAAGTTTGAATGGATGCTTATTACTCAATAAAAACACGTAAATGGGTTCTAAACTGATAAAGCACATAGGCTGCCTTTTAACCAGGAGAATTGATTGAAAAAATCGATATAAGAGGAAGCAAAAGCAATGGCAAGTAGAGAAAGTATTTAGAGCCCACACCGCAGAACATTTACCTGCACATATAAAAGTGGGCCACTTCTAGAAGATTGTAAGGAAGTTCCAGAGGAATTCCTTTCTGCAACTGCTCAAATTGAATTTGAATAATATAAGGTAGCGGTGTGAAAGTGGTAGTAGTAGTATACTTGTTTGCCGCCTTAATACATTTTAAACTCATTTTCCTCACTTGACCCTTATACTAGTAACATCTATGTATTTTCACAACCTGATTCCTGAAGCCACTAGGTTCCTGTACCGAGTTGTTTTTTAATCATGCATGATAAAACGAGATTTGAAAGAAATTACAAATATAATAAAATAAACTTTATTTTACAGCAAAAAAATGACGAGAATGCTATAGAAAACGTGTATGTTCTGTTGGCCACACATAATCTAGTGCTAACAATATTTAACGAGTATACTATTAAATCATATTTTTAAATAATTGCATTATAATCAGATGTAGATATTCGCATCGCATTGGTGGTGGAGCCAGTGCCTAACCCGAAAGGGTTGCCGGTTATTGGTTCGCATAACCGCTGCTGCGCACACAAGCACACGCTCACACATAATGAGTTCCGTTGCGTGTCTACGTGTGTGTGTCAACTAACCCTTCCTTGTACAACCAGTTCGATAGGGAGCTACCACTGTCATGAGAGGCGGCGGGAGCGAATTATTATAGTTAAATAATTATTGTAGTTTGTTTGTGTTGTAAATAAGGCTAAGCATGATTGAAACTCTCTAAAAAGTTTAACTGTTAAGTACTAAGTAACTTACTATTGGGTTTACTGCCAGAACAGTGTCAGTTTTAATACGAAGTTTAGAAACTTATCCTACAGAGCAGAATAGACTGTCCTATGCTGTTAGCTCTTTGGAATAAATAATATGGACTATTTAGAAGAAAGAAACAAGTACTCGGTACTAACAAAATTCTTATAAAACTTTGTTTATTAACAATTAGATATAACTGAAAAGAATCCTTAGAATAAACACCAACACACAACTTAAAACAGACACCTTCAAAGTTTATTTACTTTAAAAGACTTAAACAAATAAGAATGAGAATTAAACTTTACTTACATCTCAGTAGTCACTAAAATACATTTTTTTAAGTTGAAAAATTACTCACACAACCAATAATTGTGTAATAAACTTAGCCATATTGTATTTAGTAGATATCTATTTGAAAATCGTTTATAAACCGTATATTATATACCGCTTTCTTTAGTGTTGACACAAAATGCATTTTGAGGAAGTCTCATGTCCAGCATACCTAGTGAGATTCACGCTG